GTCCTTTGTTTCGCCTGTCTCCCAGCTATTTCTATCGATCTTTTTGCCACAGCAATCACCCGTCAACGGGGTTGATCTGGGGAGCGCAAATCGGCATGGAACCCAGTTAAGCTAAGGCTGTAGTTTGAAATCACAATGTTTAACGTTTTGTTTTCTGCCTTCTATAATTTTCATGGCAGGTTACTAAGCGAAATACAAGCACAACGTTGCTGAGATATTTGCAAAACTCTGGACTAGAAATAGCTGGGAGACAGGCGAAACAAAGGACCCGCATGGTGTGGTGGTGAACGCGTTACTCCCCGGAAAGGATAATAGCGCGTTCGTTCCCCACCATAGACACCTGCGGTCCATTTCGCTTAGTAACCTGCCATGAAAATTATAGAAGGCAGAAAACAAAACGTTAAAAATCTTGTTCTACTTCAGCAGTTTTCGACAACCAAAAAGGTCTTACAGATCCTCAACTTCTACAATGAATGACAAGGGAGATTTCTCAAGATGGTGATTATATTTCCCAAACAATGCAAACCGTGACGAACAAAACAAGGTGTACAAAATCAGAGCACTTATTGCACTTTTGAGTAGAAATTGCCTGGGAATCTCAGAGACCTGGCTAGAACGCCACGTGAATGAATGGCTCATGCTCTTTAGAGGAAATGATCTGGCAATACTCCTGCATTAAGCACATAAATACGTATTAAGGAGATCAAATTGTGCGCTAAGGGCGTCTACAATTAAGTGATCATATTTTGGGCAGATTCACTAATAACAAAGTTCATTACAGAAGTTTTAAGCCACAAGGATTGTAAGTTGCATGCAAAATAAGTAAATCACAAGAAATTTTGGTTATAAAGTACGCAAATCATATGAGAATAGTGCCAATTTTACACGTTGTACGTCGTACAAGTGATAAGCAATATTAAAGAAAGCGTGAATTGTAGCAATTGTTGAACTTAAAGACTCTGACTTGCTTGTAACATCAATGGATGATCTGAAAAAAGCAATGGAACGCTCTAACAGGGCTATATCAGAACTACAGGGCGAAAAGAAGAGAAAGTGACCAGCTTTCAACGATATTCATAAAGCAGACGACGACACTCAAGGATGAGCTGAATCCACATGCGAAAAGTCCGAACAGCTTCGTACACGACGGACTGGAGAAGACGGATCGAATGCAAGAAGTGTTGAGACCCTCACAGTAGACGTGAAAAATTGGTCGTGTAGAAAAAAAACGGCTTATAACATTAATGGGACGAGTGGCGCAGTGGTAGCGATACAGTCCATAACAAGTAAGGTGCTGTTTCGATCTCACACCGGCTCACTAGGCCCCTCATCACTCCGAGTTCAGGAAATTGGTGACACACTTCTCTAGGAACAGTTCACTTCACGAATTTCAAATGTATACAGTCTAAACTGGTTATCGCACGCCACCACGAAAATCGACTAGATCAGCATTTAACGACACTCGTAGAGAAGATGACAATCAATCCTCAAGCAACAGCAGAATCCTCTCGCGAAACGTTTGAAGACCCTATTAGATGATGGATGCGAGGAAACGGATCGAATGCAGGAAGTGTTGGGCTCCGTACAGTAGACGTAAAAGACGTGGCGTGCAAAGAAAACGTAACATCAACAGTGTTGTGAGAAAAACAGCTGTGAACGAAATAGCATTTGGAAACCTATTGATGAGCACAGCGCTCTTCATCTAGCAAAGAGGATAACATTATTTCAAATCCGACTTTCCTTTCACCTCGGTATGACTAAACAATATGTATCCTTTATTAAATAAGCTCACATCAGCTGTAAGCTTCTCAAAGAAGGAATAAATAGCTCTTCTACGAATAGAGGGCATGGTGATGCTGAGTATACAACTATACAACAATCCACATAATTTACCCAATGATTAGCCTACTTATAGCACTGAGACGATGTCTCTAAGTGCCAAATTTCAGTGTCCGAGTATAGCTGCGACACTTCTGTACCCTAGCCACAAGTAGCCTGGTGGGCATAGCCTTCTTCAACAACAGTCCCTCGCCTGCGAAAAAACTCGTTTGCAAAATAGATCTTGTAGTTAAAGGGGTACTTATCGAGCTGTGAATGTATGAATATTAACAAGAATGATCTAACATGCACAGTGCTGCCGCAGAAGACGTTCAGAACTTCGGATATAACTGGGAAATCCCTACAAGCATCTTACGCACCTAGAATCTCTCGACAACGGCTTAAGCCGCATATGAGCAAAGGATCTTAAGCTAATGAAGGATGGTTTAGGCTTACAGACAAGCAAAGGCCAGTTGCAAAGTAACAGGGCTTTCGTAGCCTCAACGCTATTGTCGACACACTCCATAAAGGTCAACATTTTGCGCATTGGGAACAATATTTTACCGGTATAAAGAAAAAGACACGTTTTTGGAGAACTAAGGGGACGTACTTAGTAACTTTTAAGATTTTGGCTTCTTAAGACCGAATGAAAAACCATGAAAGGAAAGAGAAAAGCACAAAAAACCAGAAAGAAAACTTGAAAGCTAACCGGTTTAACTTCATTCAGCGCTTCGTTCACCTCATCTCCGCTGTCACTTCCATAATCTACCAAGCTTATCATATTCTGAAATGGGACAAACCTAGGACATGAGACTTGAGCAACGACATCAGCAACGCACAGACTGACCAATGGAGTAGAGCACAAGGTAAGAATCAATACGTCGTTAAGGCGATAAGTTATTGTAAAAAAAGAATGGAGGATGAAGCCCTCAGAGATGATCAATCCCTGAGGGATACCTTGTGCTTTAGAATTCATCAAAGATCGTTAGAGGTGATTGAATGGATATCTGGCGTTCACAATGACTTGCGGTGGCCTACCGATTATAGAGCCAGTGCTGTTACCGTCCCAGAGAAGTCTGGCAACAATTTGCCCACCCCGCAGGGATGGAACGCTTGGTCAGCCTGGGACGAGGAATAGAATCCATCTGTACTGAAGGGCACCTCTTGCCAGTGCGCTACACGCACCCACCAAGTCGATAAACCATAGGAACCTGTTTACTAGTGTATCCTATTGATTACTTACTTACTTTATACTTGATAATTGAATGGTCCGTCCTCACTGGTTGTGCGGGGCCCAGCATAACCTTCATTTTCAGAGATTTGCTGGTTAAGCCGTTGTGGTTCCCTGTAATCCAGGGGTCAGCTTAGCCAAAGTTTGCCTCAGGTCTTCACTATCACAGGCAGTCGCAGCCCTTGTGGAATACCAGGATGGTTATGGATCCTGATATTGGTCTACTCTTAGCTAGGATTCCTGATGGAAATGCCGTACTACTTCTCAGCTTGGGAGATCCTGCCAGGCGATGAATCACCCGCTGTACATTTTAGTCTGACACTCAAGAAGACCTCTAAGCCACGGTGAGGCGGTAAACCGTTGGGAGGTAACCGATTATATTTTAACAAACTTCTACACGTCGGCAGAACTTGGAAGCAGACGAACAATTTCGTCGCCTTTCTCGGACTCTTGGTAAACATCTCCTACAGTATCCAAAGAGTTCGATTGTAGCATCCTTTTAATTTACCAGCATCGAAACGGCAATTTTCGACAGTTTCCGTGTTCTGTTTCTTTTAGCTGCCTTGGAAATTATTTTGGTTTTTACCAGTTTTTTTTTATTCTTTACTATAGACAGATAATGTCTTCGTGTTTGTTTCCGGCATGTTATCCCATTTAGAATCCTGTTGGTTTTTATGACCCCTCATAACTGTACTTTTACTTCCATCCTTACTTTTTATTCGGATTTTTGTTCGTCATTCTACTTGTACAGCTGCTTTTTTAGATGATAGCCACACGTCAAGTAATTTCGATATTCCAACAGCCAACAATGCGTTTGAAAATCCCGTTAACAATGGATGAGGTTATTGGTGGTATAGATGCCGAAATAACAGATGTAGAAGAAGCGCTTTTGCATCAAATTGGTGCCAGAGAGGTTTGGTGTTTTACCTTGTTAAGGTGTATTAAAGTAGTTTGGGTAGTTAAGGTCTGTTTGTAAGCAGTATAGTTCAGGCTCCTTTTGTTGGAATGGACAAAAGCGGACGTGGTGTTTGCGTGAAACATCTCCAAGGAGCGTGTACCATGAATCTGGTCTGTCCACTTAGGCATATCGTTGGAGATAAGGCCGTTGTTTGCAAGCATTGGTTAAGAGGACTGTGTAAGAAGGTACGTTGAAGATTTGTAAGTATAGTAAGGTAGGTAAGTAAAAGGTTGAGCTAGGGTTCTGAGACAAATGTTCTAAAAGTTATTATTATTACTGTTGTTGTTGTTGCTGTTGCTGAACGTGTAGTTTGTAAACATTGGTTAAGAGGGCTATGTAAGAACGTACGTTCCTAAGGAAAACGGTTGTGACACAAATGTCTTGTAGTTTTTCTTAACTTGGTAGGTATAGAAATCTATGAGCCCTTAGGTATTTACTAATGACGTCGTCTTAAAACTCGTGGCTAAAGTTTTTTTAAATACTGTTTTGTCTTATAAGTTTAGCACCACAAAGATGCCAATTGTAGCTTTGATTTGATTCATCACTCTTCTGATTTGTCCACTAGGTAGTACTCCGATTGCTGTGCAGTACCCTCCTACACAAGTATTTCAGGGTGACCAGTGCGAGTTCTTGCATGAGTATGATCTCACAAAGATGCCAGAATGTTTTTTCTTCTCAAAATACAGTCAGTACTTTTTCCTCCTTTGACAAAAATGTTTTGCATTTGTTGTTTTATTCTAATGTTTCCTTCAGTGGCATGCAGTAATCGCGAGTGTCCTTTCCGTCACATTGATCCTGAAACTAAAATGAAGGATTGCCCGTGGTACGACCGAGGGTTTTGTCGACATGGTACGTAATGTTATTGATACCAAGGAGAAACTGTTAAGTACCTACGTACAGTTCTCACATTGCTTTATCAACTATTCAAGGACCATACTGTAAACATCGCCATCGGAGACGTGTTATATGTCCGAACTACGTAGTAGGATTCTGCCCCGATGGTACGTATTTCCCTGTTGATATTCATGTCAATCTATGAAAACTTGTAGTTTAAGAAAGCCAGAAGTGTAGATTAGACGTAAGCTAGTTAAGGTATGGAACAAAGTGTATCATAGTCTTTTTTCTTTCTTAGTGCAGACTTAACTTGCTTTGCTTGGGCATCATGGTTTCTCGACACTGCGCAATAATGCAGGGTCGGATTGCAGGATGTAGTTTTTTGCGTTACTTAAATTTCTAAATTTTTTGAATTTTGGGTAGCGCTCAATATTTTGTGAATATTAAACTACAGTCGTCACTTTTTTACTGCCTATTCTTTTTTAATGGTAGGGTATTATGTGGAATATAACCATAAGGATGGTGCGATATTTGCAAAACTCTGGACTGCTGGTGTCTGCAGTGGAGATAGAACCCGCTATCACCCTTTGCAGGGCTGACGCTTTCAGCACCACACCATGTCTTTCGTTTCGGCTTTCTCTCAGCCGTGTTACTGACCACCCGTTGACGGATTATTGCTGAAAGCACCGTTGGATCAATAACACGGCTGAGAGAAACGTGAAACCATGGATCCGCATAGTGTGATGGTGAACGCGTCAACCGCCGGAAAGGGTAATAATGTGTTCCTTCCCCACTGCATACGCCATGGTTCCAGAGTTTTTCAAATATCTCCTCACCATTATTTTTATATTTAAAGTGCGGTGTTCAAATATCAATTCCACTCATCCACTCTGTCTTTTACAGGAAAGGAATGCAAATTCACCCATCCATCCTTTGCCCTACCTGCACCTGAGAACTCTGCCTCAAACAATAAACGGCTTTTCAATCACCAAATTATATGCCATAATTGCCACGAACGTGGCCACAAAGCCACCCATTGCCCACATCTACCAAATCAACAAGGAAAAGTGAGTTTCAAGTGTTTCAGATAGTTACTAAATCTGTGAAATACGTTGCGATGAGCAGCAAGTGGCGGTTATTATGTTGGAACTAACGTAGGTTTTGTTTCCAGACTTCCGACGTCAATCCGATCACGAATCGAACGGTGTCCACAGTGCAACCCGTAGATCTATCATTGTTCCCCGATAAAAAGAGCTTGTCAGAAGTGACATGTTACAAGGTTACTTATCTTCGTTTATCATTCTCCATCACTTTTTTCTGGTATTTTTCCAAAAGAGATCGGTTTTCAAGTAGTGCTGCTCTCTTACGCCAATGCCTTTCCAAATACTAGCTGTTGGTCATTTCAAAGAGCGTCGTTGAGCTAATCGATTTTTATGTACCACACATTGTTTTAGTGTGGAGAAAAAGGTCACTATGCAAATCGTTGTCACAAGGGTGCACTGGCATTCTTATCGAATACCGCACATTTGGCGCAAGAGCAACGAGAGAAAGACGAAAGAGAAGGAAGGTGTGTCATACATCTTCCTAATGCAATTTATACCATCCATTATTGTCATGATCATGACTAATGGGTTACTATTCTTTTCTTTTCAGGTACTACTTACCTGGAGCTTATTTGGGTCAAGCGAGTTTAAATCCAAGAACTGGTTAACCTTACAGAACATCGAATGTCACGTTATCTCTGTTGGTTGTGCAAAGATATCATTCTCTCATGCTTTCCCACTCAGAGAAAAAACAAATAAGCGCTATTGTTTATTTGCTACAAACGGGTGCTATTTGTTTGCATTTGTCTCTTGTTATTGATATTTGATACTGCGATTGTTGTTCAGTGGATAAAGTAGACTTTTCTGCATTCATACTCCTATGTTATGGTGGTTTGGTTTCCTCACTCCATAGTTCCTTGCTATTTTATGAATGTAAAGACAATTTCCATTAATTTACAGGCGGGTTCACTTGATATACAATGTCCAAAAAGAAGGACAAGGAAAAGGAAGAGAAAAAACTGGAGCCCAGTCAGAAAAGAAAGCGGGCAGGAAGGCCATGTAATGACGTCAAATCCAAGGTATTATTGAGTCTGTCAGATATCGAAAAGCTAACCAGGATTTCCGATACGTTCATGTTTCGTTTTTCTTTTTTGTTCATAATAGCTACGTTTAATCCTTTTCAAGGGGCGCATGTAGCGCAGTGGTCGCAGGTGCCCTGCAATACATAGGATCGTTCCCTGCCCTTAGTGCAGCAAGCCCTGTATCCCTCTGGGGTTGGCAAATTGGTACCAGACTTGTCTGAGAGGATAGCAGCACTGGCTCGATACATCGGTAGCTACTGCGGACCATTGTAAAGGCTAGATCTGCGTTCAATCTTTTCATACGTTGCTCAATGAATTAGAATGCATGGCGCATCCCTCAGTGGCAGATCAGCACCGAGAGGTTTATTCTTTTATCTTTTGAATCCTTACTATTCAAATGAGTTCTTTTAAAACGCCTCTAACTGCCTTGATACTTGGATACTTGGATAATTGCTTAGCACATATCTTCACGAATAGTGGAAGTTCCAGCATACCGTTATTCATATTGTTCCGTCGCATTCCCTGTTGTGACGTTGGCTATAATTTGCGTGATAAACTGACCTTTTAAAGCACGGAATGCAAGTAGTTAGTCTAAGGTATAAGCAACTGTGACCAGTTTGTTGGTTGTTGCGATCGAGGATGTTTTAATCCCTTCTATGTCTATGTAAAGCGATGAGCTTCCATTAGACTCGTGTGTGATAAGGCTATGGGAGAGCTGACGGCACTCTGGCGTTTTCTTTGCCTTAAAGCGTAGTTGAGAAGAAGAGAAAAGAAAAGCTGGATGACTGGTCCACTCCTAAGTCTGTAAGTATTGGGAGGATGGTATTTAATGCGATACTGCTGACGGCTTCCTGGCATTCGAGAATGGTTAGAACGGAGAAATAACCCTCTCCACGGACTTCTATTTTCTCAAATATTTTCGACTCCAAATTACGTGTTGTCTTGTGGCATAGTCCTGGCTGAATTCTACTTTGCTTAATTAATTAGTTGTCATTCAAAGTTCACTGTATGCGCGGTAGAACAATCTTTGTGTAGAGTTTATGAAGCACACTCAATAAGCAGATTGTTCGGTTGATATGAAGGTTCTTTCGCGTTTAAGTTGGGGATTTTCAGTATCTATGTTATGTTGACATTTGACTGGAATCATTACAACTCGACCAAAAGTGAAGTCTCCGAATTCTTAACACATAAATATGTATATGTATATATATATATGTGTATACATATGTGCAATGTATATATGTATACATAGTTAACAACACCGTGAAGGCGTACAAATACTATAAGACGTGGTCTCAAAACATCTTTAACTCATATAGAAACTACAGGGACGCTGTTTTTAATTGGGCACGTCTGAGGACGATATTATATTGCTTAATACAGGTTAAACCTACTTACGTGGATATTTGGATGGTTGCTTTCACTGGTTGTGAGGGCCCCAGCATAATTTCTCTATGTTTGTTTCTCCCAATCGTCGTCCATGATGGTGGTCTGCTTCGAGTACAGATGATTGACGTTAGCCACGAAGACGTCTGCCTATCGTTTAGGTGGCTCGAAGATCTGGACAGCGAATTCCGGCAATACGTTGTGAGTACCGGCTAGATTTCAGAATGCATCGTTCAAGTGCTCTTTGGGTAGTGTTCTTGACGTAGTTGAGATATCAGCCCACGTTTCTGCTGCGTAACAGGGCGCTGGAAGGGCTGTTGAATCGAAAAAGTGAGTTTTGGGGCTGTTAGTTGGTCGTTGGCTTCCTTGAGAGCCCGAAATGCGGTCCATGCTGCTTTACTTCTTTAGTCTAATTCCTCCTTCATGTTGTTCTCCATGTTAATTAAACGTCCAAGGTACACGCTCGAGGTGGTTTCTGTAATTAAAGAAACATACAGTTCTTTCACCTTCGCACCATGGGTTCTTCATAAAGTGGGTTTCTTTCGCACCGTTCATTCTTTTTTCCTCCATTCGGTTGAATTCCCTGGGCATCGTTTTTGCGTAAGTGGCAGTGCTGTAAAAGATGGAAATGTCATCCGGCGAAATGGAATTTTTATGGGAATTTTTCATCAATATGACTGCCCTTTGCATTCCAATGAAGTGATTTCGTTAGCCACTGCACTGCGGCAGTAAGCGGTTTTGGTGATATTTTGTCACCTTGTCGAACCCCCTTTCCCATGGGTATGGTGAGAGGGGTGGGGGTGCGTGTAGCGCAGTAGTTTGAGGCGTTACGGCGACACACACGTGGACTCGATTCCCGCGTCCATGGCTCACCAAGTCCTCCATCCCCTTGGGGTCGGCAAATTGGTACCAAACTTTTCTGGGAGGACAGCAGAACTGGCTCGATACATCGGTGGCCCAACACGAGTCATTGTAAAGGTCAGATATACATTCAATCATCTCCAACAATACCCAATGAAGTTAAATGCATGGTGCGTCTCTCAGGGATTGATCAACGTCGAGAGCTTCATCCTTTTTATCCTATGGTGAGGGGTTGATAAAAAAGATCTGTATTTGTGTTGCAGTTCCGATAAAAGTCCGTTAGTGTTCTTATGTAGGGCAGATCCCTTTCTCGATCAACGAGCGCTGGTAGCATTGCATTCGTTTTGACGCTGTCAAACGCTTTGTGGCCGATAAAGGTTAGGACAAGGAGCAATGGTACTCCCGATAGACTTCTATGACCTATGATACGATATGGATGTGGTTTATGCAGCAGAATTAGTGTCGTTTCCTTGCTTGTTCAACTGGTTGTGCCTCATCCAAGGTCTTGGATATGCGCATAATGACAATCTTCGTGAATAGCTTATAGAGTGCAGCCAACAAGCATACTAAGCGGGTGTTACGAAGATGGTTTCGGTCACGCTACTGGGATATGATGACCGTGTGCGAGGTCTTCTACTGGTCTAGGATCTTCTTCTGTAGGTACAGCATCATGTGGGTTGCGAGGAGCACGTGTAATTCGTAGCCACCAGTTTTAGGAAATCGGTGATTACATTATTGGGTCCTGGAACTGTGTCGTTTTTATACTTTTTCTTGCATCTCCAACTTCAGAAGGTAGAATCGTTCCTGGGCAGTTTCTCAACAGCGGACATTTCGCGGTCCGAGGAAGGGTGCGGTGCGGATATGATTGGTAAAGAACTCTACGGTTATTAATTGCACATCATGGCGGGAAGTTTTAGTGTTTCCATCCTTGTTCATCGGAGAAGACAATGGAGCATTGTACTCGCATGAGTCGCAACGGCATTTCTTCGGATTGGTTCATTTTTTTGTTGCTCGTAAGTCTCTTCTGCCTGTAGCGATGTAAATCTTCCTGAAAAGCTCTTCTATAACTGAAATTTATTACTAGCCATGTTAAGCGTGTTGCAGTAGGATCAAACTTCAGTGTCCTCTTTTCGCACAACTCATTGATGGTAATGGGGATGCGGTCTGAACTTCTTGTTTGAGAAAGTGAGGCGTGTTAGGCACAAATTCGACAAGCAGCGTGCAGTCCTTGGTCAGGTTTCCTATATTTGCCGGTCAGTTGAGGGGGAACTTTGCTAAGAATACCCTCGTCATAAACGTTTTACAAGTTGGTGACTAGCAGTTGATGATAGTGGCTTTCTTCTGGCGTGCAAGTTGGAGACGATGAAAAGCCAAGCACGGTGATAAAATTTGCTGTGAAGTGACTAGATTGGAAGTAGAAGAATCCATGACGAAGCTAACGCCTCCGTCATTTCGTTGTGGTAATTTTTTTTCCACTAGTGGCAAGTGTTCCGTCATCCAGTTGGCGTATGTTGGTGTTCCTGCTTTCGTCTCTTGTAGGGCGATCACGTTGAATTTGATGCCATAAACAGTTCTAAGAGGAGTGTAAAAGTCGGCGTCAAAAGAGATTGAGGAAAGAGGGAAGAGAAAAGAGGGCGTTATAAGTGCACAAGGAGCAGTTTCTAAGGCGTCTCGTCAGCGTACTCGTATTTTTGCTGTTGAACCTGACATTTGATCGCCTCTCACCAGTTGTCCCACCGCTCGACGTCGTAGGCGGTAACGCACAATGTGCGGCGTGCTGAAGCTGAAAATAGCTGGTTCAGTCGTTGTGGTTCCCTGGAGCCACGAATTCAGTTTAGCTGAAACCATCTTAAGGTCAGTCACAGCTGTTGTTCGTCAGAGGGAGATTTCTCACCATGCGGCTAGTTTGATACCAGAACGGTCGTGGTTCCTGGCATGGTTTATTCTCAGCTGGAGTTCCGGATGGAAACGTCGGACTCCTCAGCTTGGGAGTAGCTGCTGGAGAGATAAACGCCCATTCTACATCGCAGCTCGACGCCTAGGATCATCTTGCAATCAGGCCGAGGCGGTAAACCTTTGGGAAGAGCACTGGTTAAAATTCTTAAAGGCAAAGCACTTTGTTTAATTACTTCTCCTTGCAAGTTTTGTAACTCGTTATATTATTTTTTTAAAGTCATAATATTCCAGCAACATTTATACGTTATCATTTATCTGAGTAGCCCCCAGGTAGTTTGGTGATCTGGTGTTTTAAAGGTTGCAAAAGAAGATGGCTGTGATACTGGCCCAAGAGAAGTAAAAGAGTCCTATTCGCTGCAACTGAAGAAGATAAACGCTCAGCTGACATGCAGTTTGTGCAAGGTTTTTATATATAAAAGTTTCTTTCAGCTATTTTCTAATCTAGTTTTCGTTTTTTTAATAAAGCTAATGGTGGTGAGAACTGGAATATTTTACAACAAATGAAAGTGTTACATGGTAAACTCATTGGTATAACACCAGAAACTTACTTCGATACTTGTACACTTAGGCGACCCGTCCTCACTGGTTGTGCGGGGTCCAGCATAATCTCCATATTTCGGAGATTTGCAGGATAAGCCATTGTGGTTCCCTGCAATCTCGAGGAAAGCCTAGCCAAAGTCTGCTCCACGTCTTCACCGCCACAGGCAGTGGCAGCCCCTGTGGATTAGAGTGAGATTTACCACCATGCGACTTTGATACCAGTACGATGGTGGATCCTGGTATTGATTTACTCTTAGCTAGGCTTCCTGATGGAAACGCCGGACTCCTTTTCAGCTTGGGAGACCTTGGTGGAGGACGAATCCCCTGTTGAACATCGCAGCCCGCCACCCAGGAACACCTCCCAGCCACTATGGAGCGGTAAACCATTGGAATACCGTAAACATATCGTAAAGTTATGGACATTACTTGTTTTGCCACTTTCGTTTCTCTTTTTATGCAAACTGCCTACGAAGCTGCTTAAATCAGTGTTTGCTGATATTTTTCATACCATAGGAGCCAGCGTTAGTTGGCTTATTACATACTTTCAGGGTTATTTAATAGATGCAACCACTGTGATTGATTGCTTGCACACGTTCTGTAAAAGCTGTCTTCTCACGTATTTTGAAGAAGAGGATAATTGCTGCCCTAGCTGTGAACAACTAATCCATCAGTCACATCCTAGCCATTATGTGGCTTTTGATCGAACTATGCAAGACATAGTGTACAAGTTGGTTCCTGGTTGGTAGCTCTCCTTCTTTCTAGCTATTTTCTAAACGTAAGTCATCGAATTCTAGACATCTGTAGGTAAAATCTGTTTATTCGTTTTGTAATTGAAGCGTGCTTCTAGGTCTGCTGGATGCGGAACGCAAGAGACGTCTGGATTTCCTTAAAGATAAAAAAAGACTGTCTGGTGAAAATGTTGACGACGAAGATGAAGAAGTGGAAAAAAAGGTAATTACCAATTTTATCCCCTGTTCCACGTAGTGTATCCAAGTCTGCTTGCAACGAATTATTTATCCTGTTTTATTTACTACCTACTCCTTTTTAATGGCAGGGTATTATGTGAAATTTAACCATAATGTTGCTGATATATTTGCAAAACTCCGGACCACTGGTGTCTGTCGTGGGGAGCGAGCACGTTATTACCCTTTCTGAGGGAGAACGTGTTCACTAACACACCATGCGAGTCTTTCGTTTCGTCTTTCTCTCAGCCGTGCTATTGACCCAAAGGTAATATCAGCAATCACCCGTCAACGGGATTGATCTGGGAGGCACAAATCGATATTGAACACAGTTAAGCTGAAGGGTCTATAACATGTCTGTGAGAAAGGCGAAAGGAAGGACCCGCATGGTGTGGTGATAAACGCATTAGCTCCCGTAGAGGGTAATACCGTGTTCGCTCCCCAAGGCAGGCACCAATGAATTGTTGTATTAAAAAAGTTCCTTTTCTTCAAGGATGATTCTTCGCAAGACACAAACCGTTGTTTTGAAGGTGAACCCGAGATTTCGCACCACCGAAATGACGAACATGCAAGTTTTTTTCTCCTTCTTTTAAATGTCGTTTAGTTGGCACTTCCGTTATAACTGTCTTGTCCGTAAAGCACCAATGGGTAAGGGATTTTTAGGTTGTTGTGTCGTTGACACCAGGGGCTGCTGATCTACCGAAACCAAATCGTTCAATTGTACGGTTAAGTGGTATGGCTACTGTAAATACGCTTAAAAGGTAAGTACAGATTAAGGGTTAAATGTGAGTGATGGCTGACGTTGTCCTCCATCATTCTCATTCCTTATCATAACTTGTCTTGTACGATGTTCTCACCTCTACTTGTCTTGCACCATTTTTCAGTTTCCTTTGATACCCATTTCTAGGTATTTGGCGCATTCGTTGTGGTCCAATATGTCACGCTACAATGAGTTGGACTTGTTCTGTAATGATGAGCTGATGGGTCGTGATTTTTCAATGAGATTCATTCATTTAACAAGATGTCGAAACAAACTCAAGGATGAACCACTGAAACTTGTATATCGATATCATATTGATTTTTAGAAAAATGATTTCCTCATTTGCTGCCAAAGGATGCTTTTGTGCTTGTAGACGTTCCCTTTTTACAGGACTAGAATCCATATATCATAGTTTTTTGTCTGTTTTAGAATGTCTGGGCTTAAATAGGAACAAAAGGGAATGGTCCTTGATTTGTTTTCTGGTGTCCTATTCGTTTTCGGCGATAGGTTTACGGTACTTTACTGCTTTACATTGTGTTTTTAATTCATTTTCGATCTCAATCTATGACTAAACATATTTGTAAATGTGCTATTTGATTACGAGTTTTCTTATGTTTGTATCAGATCTTTTTTACCTCAGTTACTTTTTGTTTTCCTCCTTATAGAGGACAAGAACATTAATTTTAATGCTTTTTAAGCCACCTTTAGTAGAGATTACAAGGCTTTTTAAGCCATCGTTAGTAGTCTTATTCCTTAAGTGAGAGTCACGAACAACCTTTAGAAGGGTTGGCTCTTATCGGATCCGATCTCCGAAGCGAGAGAGACATGTTTAATCTTGCTATTTTATTGCGCTACGGTGTTCTCATATCCTTTTGACAGTTTGTTGTTCCGGTCGACAAAAATACGTGTCATTCAGTTAGCTGTCAAATTGTCTAGCTGAATCTTCTCCATTTGCACCATTGCATTGTTTCAATTAGTGGCACCATAATTTTTTCATGTCAGTTGGATGAAGACGGTTCTCAACGATCTTCAAATTGTCGTCGAGCGGCATTCAGATGTTTTACGCAATAATGCTGTACCATTTCGTATTATTCTCGCTTTGAGAATCATCGGTGAGCTATCATCATTCTGAATTTGAAATCTGCATGCTAATATAGCCCAGCTTAACTGGGTCCGTTGCCGATTTGGATTCCCCAGATCAAGCCCCGTTGGCGGATGATTTCTGATGGCACTGGTAGATAGGAAACTAGCTGACAGACAGTCGAAACGAATGACCCACATTGTGTGTTGATGAACGCGTTAGCCCCCGTAAAGGATAATCCGCTCCTCGCCGCAGACGCCGGCGGTTCGGGATTTTGCAAATATCTCAGCATCGGTTTTGTTGTATCTCATGTAATACCCTGCCGTGAAAAATCGTAGTAGGCAGTAAACAAAAAGGTAAAGATTCTGGATGCTAATGTCACTTTAGGACGCGTATGGCGCAGTGGTCGGAGGTGCCCTGCGGCGCACACGTGGAAATCGATCTCTGCGCCAATGGTCCACCAAGCCTTTTATCTCTCTGGGGTCAGCAAATTGGTACCAGACTTGCCTGGGAGAATAGCAGCACTGGTTGGATGCATTGGTAGCTACCGCGGACCATTGTAAAGGGCAGATATGCATTCAGTCACCTCCAAACGATGCTTAATGAATTCGAATGCATGGCGCATCCCTCAGTGGTACATCAACGCCGAGGGCTTTATCTTTCATCCTTTTTTAATGTCACTTTTGCACGTACTTTAACCTGGAAGTGCTTACAAACTGGATGTTGATAGTTAGGAGCGCTTCTGTACTCATTCCTTTTTCCTTTATTTGTTCCAGGTTGACTACTCTTTCCCCATGCCAGCTATACTTTTAAGTGTATAGAAACCTAATTTCAGCTATTTTCGAAGGTTGGAAAGATGGGTTAGTGTGCGTTTTCAGGTTTCCTCATCTCTCCAGTTGCTTCGGTGTATGGTTTTCTGACGCTGCTGCCGTTTCAACTATTTTCCATTGAAGTATGGCGGCTGTTCACATGTAGTTTTGTGGGCAATAATGTGCTTATATTTGCTTGGACACTATGGAGTTTACATTTCGGGACAAATCTCGTTAGACAAAACAACAGTAATGAGAACCTGCTGAAGATATACGCAATAACTCAGGTAAAGCCTCTCGTTCAAATATCTATTATTTGCTTTTTGTTATCATCAAAAATCAGGTGTTAACAATAGTCCTCGTTTGTGGAGCTGCTTATGTTGTTTACGCGTTTGCTGAAAAAACTACACTTCTTTATGAAGCATATATTGTTGATATGGTGCCAATGAACTGTGCTGTTCTGGTCTTGATTAAACAGGTGAGTTACATCTTAATCTCCAGTATTTTCTTGACAGTTCACCGATGAAGCTAATGACTAGGCGTTATAATTTTCATTCGAAGTTTTTCAAGGGAAGAGTCTAGTTGACTTGCAAGTCGTATTTAAATCCTTATAATTCTTTCTACTTCTGTTCAGCAAACACGAGGTGTTACTTTATTCCTTCATTTACGTACAAGCTGACGTTTCGGCGGATTTCACCTTCCTCAGAGCCTGGAAAGGTCAAGTTGACTACAACATACACGGCCAAACACCTCCATAACCAAACAGAGAAAATGCTGAACCAAAATTTCAATCACATGGAACACAGAGTCTTTGCACACTCACCGCTTTCTATGACTCTTCCACTAAATGTGTCACGTGGAGACCAACCGCACGCAGTTTACACGGAATCGTATTGTGGTCATCTCATCAAAATAACAGGCTTATATGATGCCCAATATCACGCGTGATAATGAGGCATTCCTCCCTGCGGTTCATTTTCGGATTCTTGGAATTAATCCAGAATGCCTCTAGAGTTTTGCGCGCTTGTGTTCTCGATTCCTGTACGAGGATCGTGGCACGTACTTCAAAATCCTCCCCATTATGTCTCTGGGTCCTATGCTTGCCTAGCGGAGTATTTGGTTTATGTTTATCGGGTAGGTGTGCTTTTATGCAGACACGAAGGGGTCTACTCGTTTCGCCAATATATTCGTCTCTGCACGTTTTACAAGAGATCAGATAGACTGCACCCGAATTCATGCTGTCACCATCTCTTCCATTGAGGCAAATTATGCAATTTTGTGTTGCACATAGACGGTCGTATAAGCGGTTACGAACTAGCTGGCGTCTTAGATTATTCAGTGGCATTTCAATTATCGTTACCGTGAGAGTAAAATCCTTATAGTTAAAAAGTGCTCAAAACTGACAGAGAACTGAAAATAAATAGCGATCATCCTGAATCATTTAGTCGAATAGTCCTAGGACTGACTATCAGTGCTGGAAGATGTACAGGAGCCCGTATAACGCAGTGGTCGGAGGCGTTCTGCAACAAGGAACTACTGTTGAGTAAATTTTTCAGGAACTGATAAAGGATAAAACGGATAAAGCTCTCGGCGTTGATCAATCCCTGAGGGATGCGCCATGTATTCGACTTCATCAAGCATCGTTTTGAGGTGATTGAATGCATATCTGGCCTTTACAGTGACACGCGGTGGTCTACCGATATATCGAGCCAGTGCTGCTATCCTCCCAGACAAGTTTGGTACCAATTTGCCGACCCAGGACGGATGGAAGGCAGGTGGCTCATGGGTGCGGGGATCGATTCCACGTTTGTGTTGCAGGACGCCTTCGACCACTGCGCCACACGCGCCCCTTTAACGACCTGTCCAAGAACTGATACGAGGACTTATTCTAGCATATCAAGGTGCACTGCCAAAAAATCAAAAGCCCATCCAGAGTGCATATATTGTTCTACATTTACTTTCAGCCTTACACTTTATGTTTTGCATTTTACAATCGCGTTATTGGCGGGTTCATCTTTTAAATATTCATAATTCTTTGTAAGCGTAAACTCCACATTGGCAGTGTCATCTAACAGTTTTGGCCGTGAAATCTAAACTAAGCACAGAGCCCTCAGGTTCAGTAATTTCACACTATTACTAATATGCAGGAGCGCAAACTTTTTTCATGAGCCAGTTTTTTCAGCGGTTAAATCATTGAAAGGCAATATGTCTTTTACATTTTCTCTACGCTTCTTTTTATGCTTCTCTATTCTTTTCAGACTCACTTCTTACTTCATTCTGTTCACTATTTCAACTCTCTTTCTCTGCCATTACCTATAAGCTTTTACTTTTCTTCCTTTCCAGCCCGTGCCTTTTTTTGATTTTTGGTCTTCCTTCTTCTTTCCCTCCATCTTTTTCAATACCTCCCTTTCTTTATACGTTTCGACCTTTCTCTTCTCCTAGTGCCGCCTCTTATTTTAACTTTCCATCCGGCTTCATTGTAATTTTACTTCTTACTCTGCCTTCCACTGCTCTCTTACTGCTTACTCTTATTGACTGTTATCACTATTTTGCGTTCATTTAAACATGCAGACGATTCCTATCTGTTGGAGTTACGGTCGAAAACAAACACAGTTGTTTAATGTCTAATTTTTAATGAAGCACTTTCAGTTTCTTCCGGACTCCATTCTTCTGGATACTCCACTTGGCCGACTCAAATACACTCACACACCACTGCTGGTTGTTTTACTCAGCTCGTTACTTTCAGTCTTAGGTGTAATAAGACCGGTTCGTAGGTTCCCTCAATCTTTTAGAATAGTGCTGTCCAAAGAAATATGTGCATACATATCGCATTGTCGCTTAATTGATTAACGATTTGTTCTAAAGTTTATTTAGGTTGTTGTCTTACAATGTTTACTGGCCGTGCAAATATCGTGGACATATCTTCGCTTCTTTAATCCACACGAGTTGGATTTGTTTTATGGTGACAGCAGTGAACATTTTGTGTGGGCAAGGTTCGTTCCCTGTCATATCAACTGTTGATGTGGTGGATAGCACGGTGGTAGTGATGCCCGTCATCACGAGCACGGTGCTAGTTCGATTCCGCTTTGGGCCAACCAAGTCTGTCATTCCTCCGGAGTCGGGAAATTGGCATCGGACTTGTCTGGGGAAAAGCAAATCACACTCTGCAATCAAATTGGGAACGCTTCGGCCAGCTTGTCTCAGGACTCTGAGGAAAATTGCTCGACCAGCATTCTACGAAATTCAAGATGAATGAAAATCCTCAAGCAGCAACCGAAGCCACACGTAGGATTGGAAGATCTTCGTGGAAAATGGATGCGAAGAAACGAATTGGATGTGAGAAGTGCTGGGAACCGCACAGTAGACGTAAAGACGGGCCAAATAAAAAAAAATATATTAAGATACTGGCATTCGTCTTTAAAAAAAAGGAAAAAGCAAGAGAGCGTACTCATCTGCGTTTCAGTCTTTTTCCACGAGCCGTTCAACCATGCTGCTCTATTTTGGGACGTGTATTCTTCAGGAGCCTTGCGAAACTTGGAGTTTGCAAAAGATCGGTATGTTGAACAGTAATTTCGAATTCAAGACACTCTACTCCGCTTTACATTATCCGTTATTACATGTCTTTACGATTCAAACTTGGTATGGATTTTTCTATTTTGTGGCTGTTTAGATGTATATGTAGTTATTTTAGTTAATGTTTGAGGGGAGCGTGTAGCGCAGAGGTCGGAGCCACCCTGCAATACACAAGGGATCGATCCTTGCGCCTCAGACCCACCAAGCCCTCTCTCCTCCTAGGTCGGCAAATTGGTACCAGACTTGCATGGGAGGATAGCTGCACTGACTCGATACATCGGTAGGCCATCGCAAGTCATTCTAAAGGCCAAATATGGATTCAATCACCTCCAACGATAACTAATGAAGTCGAATGCATGGCGCATTCCTCAGGGATTGATCAACGCCGAGAGCTTTATTCTTCATTTATCCTTCTCAAGGTTTGATGCTAACCGCTCTTCTCCTTTTCAGAGAAGTTTGGATCATTTTTGCTGTGGGAAAACAGGAATAGTTTTCTATTTATCTTTTTTTATAGGTATTTATGCTCAATACTGGGCTTTTCTGTAGCTGTCAAATCACATCTTTACGTTTTTCTTCTCTTTTGAAAAACAAAGCAATTTTAGGTACGGCACGTAGACCTCACCTCTCTACAAAACGTGGAAATAGGTTTACGTGGGCTTGACAGCACTGCGCGTGATGCTGAGAGAAGAAGGTTTGCCAAATCTACTAATGCATTTTTAATTATCTGGGTATCTTTGTATAACAGTGTTTTTAATTGTACAAAAATCACTGCGTAGAACACCACAGGAGTGCCTGTGATCCTGCTGAGACCAAATTTTTGTGTATCCTTTTTCTTCATTGTTTTTTCTATGTATTATTGTTGGGACAAGACATTGCACTTTTTTCATTCTCTTATCCAATTCTGCATCAAATTCCATATAACTGGAGAAGTTGATTTGGTCTTTTTTCGTTAGTTATAAAGGATTATTTTAAGGCAAAAAGCTTTGCGTGATCTTAATGAGCGCCTGAATAGAACAAAGCGTATGGAGACTATAGCATGGGAAGAAGACATCGAGGATGAGACAAATGAACCAGTAGTGAAACAGGACACAGTAGAGGAAACACTAAAACAGGTAATGTTGATGTTGTAAACATGAAATGCTGAATTTCTGCTTAGATTTATTGAATTATTTAGCAGTAGCAGAACTATTTCTTCTCGAATGTGTGTAATGAAATAATATAGTGTTAAGCAGCGTTATGGTTCTCCGTAAAATTCCAAAAGTTTATCTCATTCACTTCGACGGTTAGACACCATTTTATGTGACGTTCAACATTCGAGATTTTTCTTACTTCCAAAGGTGATTATTGGGGAATTGTGCTAGCCCACAGATGCAAACCCATCTGTCATATAAAACAACTTTACTGCTTAAAGCGTTACTTAATAGCTTAGAGGCATTTTATTAGTTGCTTGCTTTTATGGAAAGAAATGCTCCCAATGGTTTACCGCCTCGTCGTGGCTGGGAAGTGTTCCTGGGTATCGGGTTGCGATCTACAGCGGAGAGATCTATTTCCCAGTAGGACTTCCCAAGCTGAGGGGTCCGGCGTTTCCACCAAGAAGCCCAGCTTAGTGTACACCGGTATTAGGGTCTACCACCGTCCTGTTATCAAACTGCTTGCATGGCAGCAAATCTCCCCCTGATCCACAAGAGCTGCGACTGAGTGTGTTGGTGATGACATAGGACAGACGTTGGCTAGGCCAACCTCAGGACTCCATGAGGCCACGATGGCTAAACTAGCAAAACTCCAAAAAAGTGTAAATTATGCTGGTGCTCGCACAACCAGTGGAGAGAGGCGATCGAAGTGCCCAAGTATGGAAGGAAATACTTACAAACTCTTATCAAAACTAATTTCGTTCCACTCATCAATTCCTTGAAACGTCAGCTGGGAACAAATTTTTCTTGCTTGTTTTTTCAAAGTCTGGTAAGAGTTATGTGGTGCAGTTGAACTATAAGCGTTGACGTACATGACAAGGTTAATGAGATCAGAGTCGGAAATTTAGCGAAACAATCGCCTGGTGCTAAAATGAACCGAATGACCAATGGAATTGAACAAATCGCAAAGATTTGCTGATAATCTTCAAGATGCATCGTGTGAAAAAGCAGTGTGCAACTCAAGAAGATTCGACTCGACAAGACTACGAAGATCCACAACAGTTATACGAACGATATGGATCATTGACTCCGTTCATCGAGTCTGAAAAAGACGGAGACATCGAAACGTTAGCCGAATAAAAGTTATATAATAATCTCGTGTAAGCATTGACCACAAAATTGCTGAGATATTTGCAAAACTCCGGGCCGCAGATGTCTGCGGTGGGGAACGAACGCGCAATTGTCCTTTCCGGGGAGTAACGCGTTCACCACCACACCATGCGGGTCCTTCGTTTCGCCTGTCTCTCAGCTAGTTCTATCGATCTGTGCCGCTAGCAAACACCCGTCAACGGGATTGATCTAGAGAGAAATCTCTTGATCTCCCCGGAAAGGACAATAGCGCGTTCGTTCCCCACCACAGACACCTGCGGTCCGGAGTTTTGCAAATATCTCAGCAATCTTGTGGTTGTGTTTCGCTTAATACCCTGCCATAAAAATAACAGAAGGCAGATAATAAAAATTAAACATTGGGAATACATTGAATTCGCTGGGTGTTCAACTTGAGATTTGTTTGAGAGGAAACTAAAGAAAGAGAAGATAATTGAATTCGGCTTTCTGCACCATGGACCCACTGCTTACGATTGATTATGACGAGAAATTCGCCTAATCGTAGTTCTATGTCAAAACAAGGCGACGCTATTTTGGTCACTTTATCCAATTCTGTTTGCGCTGTTGTTGAAGACTGAACGTAACCAAAACCAGAAAGGATAATATGTAGAAACAAGACTATGGAGTGCATTGCAATATTCTTACTTTTTGGTCAATCTATGTTAAGCATTGATATGTTTATTTATGTGATCTTATAAAAAGAAACCCTCAGAACCGTGATGTTACGTGCAGGACCGCCGACCGTCAGCCATCGACCAATAACATCAAAAACAACGAAAACGACAACGAAGACCTGTACCAACCTCGCATCAGCTTAAGACGATTCGTTTATAAGATCATATAAATAAACATATCAACTATCTATGCCGATGTTTATAGAAAGTCGATCTTTCGATTTATGTTAAGCATTACCGGTCAATTTTCTTCACTAGTGAGGAAGAACTATTTACGGCGATTTAGCCGTTCCTCGATTTCTTTTGTGATTATATGCGCTCTGGTTACGAAAGGTTAACGGTTCCCTCTAGGGTGGCAACATATTGAATAATCTGTGTTTAACAGGGCGCGAGAATTCCTTCGTTTTTCAGAATGAAGAAAGCGAGAAGATGGTATCTGAATCTGCTTCACATGGAATCGCTGGAGCTCTTTGAAGTTACAAATTTTTTCGCTTAGTTTTTTGGTTTGAAGATATCTATTGCAATATAAGTTGTTCACTGTAATATAATGCTCTTTTATTAAATAGAAAAGCTTCAGGCGTTCTTTTTTTCCTCTGGTCGAAATGATCTTTTCTGTTATTTGAGAGAATCTAGTTTTTTATCCAACATCCGTTTTTTTTTCTAAAATATAGAGAACCTCCATCAGCCTTTTTCTTTCGGGCATAAATCAACGTGGTATTTAGGTAGATCTTATCAGACGAAGATGAAATAGTTTGTAGCTCGAAATGTTGTCAGTAAACGAATAAGATGTTCGGTGCAACAAATTTGGTTACGAAAATGAAAACGTCATGAAGTCAATAACCCATGAAGATTGAAGTAGTAATATGGACGTTGACAAATTTGGTTTGTTTGTTGGAAAAGTCAATTGAGATAAATGACGTCAATTTTTGCCAAGTAACCGGAAACTTGGAACATGAAATAAAATGGTCTATTGGATTTGTGGGGAGTTCACACATGGATTCCGTGATTATCTTCTTCTGTTTTATTTTGGTGAAGAAACTGATTGGGATAAAATTGGAGACACTTTGAATGAGCTTATATGCTGTAAAGCAGAGCAAATTTTCACGTTTAAAGTGTTCAGTTAAATGGCTATACATGATGAATTTCATTTACCAGAGAAAAAGAACGTCTGGAACTTTTGTGTTTTTGGATCGGTCTGAATCATACTGAACAGCCCAATGTGTACGATCTCTGTGATTTTTCCCATTTGTGGGTTTCGGTATTTTGGAACACCAGATGCGCATATTGTTTTTTTCATTCCACAGTGGTTTTATCTTGGCTTTTCTTTAGATTCTATTATTGATTTAAACTGACGCTATGATTACCGCGGAATCATCGAAGCATTTATGTAACCAGTTGTGTGATTTCATATTATGAGTACGGAGAAGAAATCGCCTTTACTAACAGTTCGAATTGCCACCTTTCATTATTAGTAACTGTAACAAGGCTTTTGCCTTTAAAGTTACGTTTTCTCATAGCATCTTCGGTTTTTGGAACTTATTGAAAATGAACGATAATGGTCATTTTGCAGTTACAAATTTTTATCACAGGAGTTGAGAAAACTTGTACCACCAGATCCGTCTGGGAATAGCTTCCGTCTGGTACAAAAGGACCTGCAATTGCTCATGGTGAAGACATGGCAATGGTTTGGGAAGTCCATCTAGGCACTCCAAGGAGAATCGATGACAATTGACATTCAGTCATATCCATTAAAAAGACAAAATCCTGAAGATGCAGTAGAAGCAATGTGAATAGCGAGTGTGAGACAACAGCGGTACCGGATTGAGGAGGTACATGGAGTTCACGTAGCATGTGAAAGCGAGTCATATTAATGGAAAGAGACGGATATAAATGATACTCGTAAGTATATGGACCTATCGGTGTTATTCTGAAAATGACAAGTGCTGACCAACAGTTTTAATCACTGAATCAACATCGCTTTGTAGGATCGCTAACACTACCTACTTACGCCGCTAGTTC